CTCGAACCGGTCCATGGTTCTGAAAAGACTGGGGACCACTAATTTAAAGCATTGTTCCGGGCAGTTTACAATCGTCATTAAAAGGTACAATACAAAAAATTAAATTAAAACAATAATAAAATAAAAACAAATGTCACCAAAAACAATTATTTAAGACGAGACTAGGATTAGAGATATTTGGTATACAAATACCCCTGCACAGGTGGACATAATGAGGGTCCAGCCCCCTTCCACTCCTGGCAGGAGAACGAGCTTCGCTGCCAGGTTGAAGAATGGCTCACAGACCACGAGCTCCAGAGCGACAGGAACAGTGGAAGGTGAGTGGACAGTCCAGCCCCAGGGACCAACCCCAGGGGGTTGGACCCTCGTTACTTGTATACGAATACCAATACCCCCATCTCTAACTTGGATAGCTTAAAACCTCACTATATATAAATTGCCAAAGATTGTTACTTTTTGATGTATTCTTGAAGGCTTTCACAGCCGGGATCCGAGGGTTGTTCTCGAGGTGTTTGGACATATTCTGGAGGTTTTTCTTCCTAACGTTTCTAACAGAGTTCTAACTCCTGTCCTTTGAAGATGCTGGCCATAGAGACTGGCAAAATGTTACGAAGAAAAATCTCCAAAACACGGCCAAACAGCCCGAAAAACCTACAACAACCACTGTAACTTTTATTAAAAATTTGTATTCCACTGTTCTTTCTGTTAAATCTTAATATGGCTTATAAGCAATACTTTTTTTAGAGGCTGTTTTGTTGCATGCACAGGGCTTGAAAAATCCACACGTTTTGTGTTGAAGTTGGCATGCCTAAAAACTGAAATATTTACCAGCAAGTAGGCTGACAGATTTCAACATCAATCATTAAAAGGTACAATACTGAAAAAAAACACACAAAAAAACAAAAATTAAAACAATAATAAAATAAAAACAAATGTCACCAAAAACAATCCTAGTCTCGTCTTAAATATTTAGTATACAAATACCCCTGCACAGGTGGACATAATGAGGGTCCATCCCCCTTCCACTCCTGGCAGGAGAACGAGCTTCGCTGCCAGGTTGAAGAATGGCTCACAGACCGCGAGCTCCAGAGCAACAGGAACAGCGGAAGGTGAGTGGACAGTCCAGCCCCAGGGACCAAAAGAAAGGCATTCAAAATACAAGCTTCATGACCCCACAGGCACGCAGGTAAAAAAGCAACCCAAGTCTGAGAGTATATTCATTTTGGGTTTGTACACACAGTTATGCAGAAAGTGCCTAATTTAAATTTAAACATAAATTGCATGTCTATAGTCCAGTCATGCTGACTGGTGAAATGTTTGACTAACTGGTGAGACATTCTAAAATTTTTCAAGCCCTGTGCTTGCAGCAAGTTAAACCTCAATGGTACTTTTAAACCAACCAATACCGGACACTAAATCACTACTGTATTTTCATTTAACACTACTGCAGGGTTTTCTGAATACTAAATACTCACAGGTACTTTTCTCATTCCCTTCCACTTGGGGGCACGCTGGGACTGTATAGCTTGCTCAAGGCTACAGAGTCTGGCTTTTCTATAAGACACAGTGAGGGGGAATCAAGCTCCCGATTCCTGGCTCCACAGCCAAATACTCCAACTCACTGAGCGGTGCAGCCAGAGCAATAGGTGCACCACAGCTCATACCAACCTAGGATAAGTAAACCATGCAAACTGTTGTCTTCAAGCAGAAAATGAACACATGCTGTCCAAAACAGTTGTTCCACACATGGAGGAGACCTTCCACATGCCAAATGGCACAACTGGCACCACCTCCTTGTGTGGTCACTTGCACATTTTACCTGGGGAAATTAACCAACATTTTCTACATATACATGCACAGGAGTGCAGGTGAGGAGGGTTGCTATCTTGTAAAAAGCTCCTCTCTAAGACGTTTCCCCAAAAAGTCTTCAGAAAGAAATTCCTCCTCCTCAATCTCAAATGTTTGAAAGGCAAATGCTGTTTTACCTCAAGGATAGGAACAGGGTTACAAGTATCTGGAACTCCTGTTCTCTGTTGTGTTTGGCATCCATGAAGTGTTCTGTTTCTCTCACAACTAGTCAGTGAACAACACTGAAGCAGAACATGCAGTAGGGCTCATCTAGATAACCCCATTGCCATCAAATCACTCCATTTTCACTAACAAATTCTATGTTAGGCTGTGCATTTGCTTGTGATAGCTGAGTATCTATAAGCGGAAAGCATTCTTCTGCCTCCCATGCTTTATGACTTTAGATTTCTTTGAGGGATTCCACCCACAGCTGCCTGAGAGATGAAACCTAGTTAAGCAGCACAACCTGAATGTCAAGCTACCATCTGCTAGAAAGTGTTCACAGAGTCACCATTACCTGACCTGTGTAGAGACCAGTGCTGCTAAATTATGCGGTAACAATAGAGGCTCATGACACTTCTTACAGATTAATCACCAACCACCGAGCTGATGGCTTCAAGCACTGCTAAAGGCCATTAACCCTATCTGCTCATTAACACCTAGTGAAACTGCCCTGTATCTCAATTATTAATGCTGGCATGGATATCAGAATAGTGAGAAAGGGAAGGGAGAAGTTATTGCCAGAATTACCACCCGGACACAATTAGATCGCCAGAATTGTTGCAGTATTTTGCTTCTACTACAATACAAAATATTTTAAACCATACAGAATACACACTAAAAACAAGCTGCTGAGATGGCAAAGATAAACTGTTTATTCAAGTACATTTATTGGGAAAGGATCTAAATATTTTTCAAGGCTCAAAGTTTCTCCCACCAAAAGCAAACACACCCTTCGCAACTCCCCCTGTAAATTTTAAGAGTGTTTGTCCCGATATTATGACACCATTCCATGACCTTGCTTGTCCAAGGCAGGAAAAGGGCAAAGGACACCTGTCCTTGTCAGATGAAGAACTTGTGGTCCTTTTTTTGGGAGGGGGGGAAGTACTGCAATTCCAAAGAGACAGGTGAGGGATGATGGTGGATCAAGTCCAGATAACCAGGAAGATGCTACAGTACTCATCAAACTTGTTTACTGGAAGTATTTTTGATCCCTTTTCTGTTCACCAGAATACCTAAAGTGATATAAAGGGGATCCCCCCCCCCAATGTATAACACCTCACTTTACAATCTGCCGGTTGTACAACCATTCTAGTATCATCCAACACCCTGGCTTCAGGTTCCAAAACTCACTTTTATGACTACTCTGACAAACTCTGTAAGCTAACATATTTTTGTCCAAAAGCAAAGCAGCAAAAAAAAATGAAGGTAGGAGTGAGAAAAGGCTGGAAGGGAGGGACCAGCAAACAAGCATGGGAATGTTGGTGGGACAGAGCTGGAAAAAGCAAGTGAAATTAGAGGGGAGTGGCCAGCAAAGCCAAGTAGGGAGATAAAAGTGTGTGAGAGAAGTGAAAAGACAGCAGTGGTTTCCTTTATAAGACATCAACATTCTCTGGGAACCAAATCCTGGCTTTAATATTGAGCCTAATAGGCAGGGCTTGAAAATTTTTAGGATGTCTCACCAGTCAGCATGACCAGACTATTGACTTGCAATTTATTGGGATTGGGAATCACTGATTTATACCCTCAGACTTGGGTTGCTTTATTACCTGCGTGCCTGTGTGGTCATGAATCTTGTATTTTGAATGCCTTTCTTTTGAATGTCTCTAGCAAAAACAAAACTGAAAGCAAAAAATACCCAGCCTCTTAAGAGACATGGTTCCCTCCCACCCCAGGATGTATCCTCATTCGGTTGAAATTGGGAGCAGGGACTCTCCATATTCTCCAGCATGGGACTACTCTATATTCTCCTGCAGAGCCAAATCTCTATGTGCCACTCAAACTCTCTTCTCGCGAGAAGAGGGCAGTTTTCCTTTTGCAATGGGAGGGGGGAGGGGAGGACTGCAGGATGAGAGAGAGAGAGAGAGAGAGAGAGAGAGAGAGGTGGAGGGGAAGGAACCAGGCAGGGAAGGAGCAGCATCCAGCAGCATCTTTCACTCATCACAGATGAGTGGATGAGTGCATTTTTCAAGCCCTGCTAATGGGAAAACAGGGTTTGACTTCACAGGTTATTTTACAACAGTTATCAGAGAATCTATTCAACTGTAAGCATGATGTTTATTTTGTAGTGCACTGAAACAGATAAAAAGCAATTTAATGATATATTAGAAAACAAATTATAAACAAATTGTAAGGGGGGGGGTCACTCCTGACACGCCAAGCAGGTTATTTGCCCTTCTCCTGCATCTCCTTGAGGGCCTGAAGGAGGCCTATTTATCCTATTTATTCAGCACATATTAAACCAATTCAGGCCCAAATCCACTGGATTTCACCATTTCCACCAGAATGAGCAACCTTCCTATTCAGCTGGAGCTCCCATGCCTACGAAAACCCTTTATCCGAAGCTGGCGAAACTCTCCCAAGGAGCAGGGTGTTTGGGTACCAGACCGAGGTGGATTAGAAGGACAAGCATAAGAAACTCCTGTTTTAGTGATGCTGAATACTAAAGGCTACCACTGGATTTCAGCAATACTCAAGACCATTTATTAATGTTTTGGTCTGGAGTGAAAAAGTTCATAATCAGCCACTTTGCTCTTTCATTTTCTCTTCACTACATTTTACAGCTGTCTTACACCTTTGTTCCCCACCTCAAAACATGTTACGAGTCATTCAATCAAGATACTAAACTGAATTGCTAAGTGAGATTCCTTGAACGTTTTCCAAGGAGATACCAATTTTCACGGAGTGGTTTCAAGCAACCTGCATATACCTCAGCTCCTCATTTTTTAGCTTATTGCTAGCTGTAGCGAACATCCCTGCCCTCACCTGCCCGTCACAGCAGAACAGTGGACAAGGAGTGGACAGGATGGAAGGCGGAGCCAAAGGGGGAGGGGGCTGAATATAAAGGCTGGTGTATAGGGTATAAGGAGAGATTCTGGTAGTGAGAGACAGTGTGAAACTTAAACGTGTACTAAGGGTGAGTTACAGATCTGTAAGAACGCTGAATGGAACAGAGAGTTAATAGAGATTTAAATTTAAAGTAGAAATGATACAAATACAATACAAGTGATTAGCAACCTGTGATTTACCTATTGAATATTAATCATATGTTAACTTCCCTGATCTAATAAATGACTTAAGTTTTAAAAGCACACATGTCTTTAAAAAGTTTTTTTAAAAAAAGTTTTAAGTTTTAGAAAGAAGAAGAGCGAGAACCTCGTGAAGGCCTGGGGGGAATAGGGGCTTCAGAGGAGATCACCACACTAGCCATCAGCAGAAACATGGTTTTAAGTTTAAATGCCTGGTTTACATCTCTTCTCCCCTCAACCCAATACCTTAGGTAGAACACCACCATCAAATACTCCAAAAGGATAGGTACAATATTTTTAAAACAACACTACACTTAAAAATGCATTTTGGCAAAGAAAAATCATTATCCCAAAGAAGACTTTACGAACACTTCTGACTCTATTTTCATACAACTTCTGGACTAGCTTACCTGATTATCATATTTAAGAGACTGTGTTCCAACCAGGAACCGTATTGCATCTGTTTCAGCAGTCTGGGGTGTTAAAGCTCGTGCCTACATCAGGGACGGAAGTATAAAAATACAGTTACACTCAACACATTTAAACAGTCTTGAACATACAGCCCACTGGTTACAAAAAACACTGTTTTTGACATTTAATCCGCCTGTATTTTGATGATTTCTTCAAAACTGCAAGTTATTTCTTGCATGCAGTAGCCAGCTTGAACACTATGAAACATCTTTAAAAAAATATAAGATAATTACAGATTACAGACAGACAATTAAGAAGGATGAATATACCAAAAATTTCCAACAATTTAGATATTTTGTATGCACCACCTATGAACTATTCACTATGACATGTGAATGAACTACAAATTGCTGACATATTCCTGCAGGTAAGAACATATATATTAAAGTATCTGTTTAAAACTAAGTTCTGGTTACTTCATTGTCATTTTCTTATTAGACACTCAAGTTACTTTAAGCCCTTCGGACAGTTTTGTTTGTCAATTTAGATATTAATAATGGTTCCAATAGAATGATTTACAACTCTTCAGTGTTATATACTCTATATGCATAAAGCTAAGATGATTTGATGAAGGTTTGTTTGGTTTTCTTATTATCCCCCAAACAGGAGGCCTATATAGGAGTGCTGTCGCTCCTGTCGCGGACCCAAAACACCCAGACATCCCCCTCCTTCCTCCCTACCCCGTCGTGAGGATAAAGAAGTAGACACCTGTGAGTTGGAAGGGGTACCTGAAGATCGGGAACTAGTGGATAAAGGAGTGGATACCAGTGACCTTGGGCAGGCGGTGAAGGGGTTAACCCTGAGACTGAAACCTGGGAAGGATTTGGCGGGAAAAGGGAAGGAGGAGATAGAGGCGCGGCCAGAGATATAAGGGGGAAGTGGGAGGAAATCCCAGGCGGTTGGGAGTGGATATGGGTTGAAGATCCCTGGACCGGCAAGTGGGAGCAGGTGAAGGTGCCCCACAAGGAGGCGGAAAGACGAAGATGCCAAGGTTTGAAACCCCGACCCTCATATTGGGGAGAAACTGAATCAAAGGAATGGAGGCGTAGGCTAAGGGAGGAAAGGGAAGCAGTGGCAAGGGAAATTGAAAGAAAGAAAGCATGGCATCTTGCCGAGTTGCAGAAGATGGGAGTTTACCCAGACCGTGGTTGGCAAATGTCGGAGAGGGGTTGTCCTTATGGGGATGGAGCAACGATGAAGAGACACTTCCCTTGATTCCCCCCGAAGAAGGGGTGGAGGAAAACCAGGTGCCCGTGAAAGGCGTAACGGGACCATGGACTATTGAGGACAGTAACCCGTTTATTGAAAGTTTATGGACACCCTTGCGCTCAGGTTTGGGAGAGCAAGAGACGTTAGAACCTGATATCCCAGAAGTTCCAGTTATGGTTGATGTACAAATAAACACTGATCCAGTTGACAGTTTAAATCCGTCTCGTCCTTTATTGGGAGTGACTGGCCCACACCGAAACGAACCTTCACAGATATTAATAATGGTTCCAATAGAATGATTTACAACTCTTCAGTGTTATATACTCTATATGCATAAAGCTAAGATGATTTGATGAAGGTTTGTTTGGTTTTCTTATTATTCATTACATCCACCTACCCATTCAGACCAAAGACATCAATATGAAAATAGTCTCGGCATCTTGATAAATAGCCTGCCCCTATTTTTATATGAAAGTGATAACTCAAGAGTTCCACAGATTTCTGCAGGGATTCCTTGCAACAAGGCTGCAAAGGCCAGCAGCCATCAACACTGATGTATATAAATACATATTCTGAAAATACTCAGTAGCTCCCAGATCACAACTCTTTATCCATATACAGCTGTAGCAGTAAAGCAACAAATTATGTATATTGCTTTCTATCTCTTGTTCTTACTCCCAGCTGCTCCCAAGGATGGAGAAACTCAATCAAAGGAATGGAGGCATAGGCTAAGGGAGGAACGGGAAGCAGTGGCGAGGGAAATTGAAAGAAAGAAAGCATGGCATCTTGCCGAGTTGCAGAAGATGGTGGTTGGCCAATGTCGGAGAGGGGTCGTCTTTATGGGGATGGAGCGACGATGAAGAGATACTTCCCTTGATTCCCCCTGAAGAGGGGGTTGAGGAAAACCAGGTGCCCGTGAAAGGCGTAACGGGACCATGGACTATTGAGGACAGTAACCCGTTTATTGAAAGTTTATGGATACCCTTGCGCTCAGGTTTGGGAGCGCAAGAGACGTTAGAACCTGTTATCCCAGAAGTTCCAGTTATGGTTGATGTACAAATAAACATGGATCCAGTTGACAGTTTAAATCCGTCTCGTCCTTTATTGGGAGTGACTGGCCCACACCGAAACGAACCTTCACAGATATTAATAATGGTTCCAATAGAATGATTTACAACTCTTCAGTGTTATATACTCTATATGCATAAAGCTAAGATGATTTGATGAAGGTTTGTTTGGTTTTCTTATTATTCATTACATCCACCTACCCATTCAGACCAAAGACATCAATATGAAAATAGTCTCGGCATCTTGATAAATAGCCTGCCCCTATTTTTATATGAAAGTGATAACTCAAGAGTTCCACAGATTTCTGCAGGGATTCCTTGCAACAAGGTTGCAAAGGCCAGCAGCCATCAACACTGATGTATATAAATACATATTCTGAAAATACTCAGTAGCTCCCAGATCACAACTCTTTATCCATATACAGCTGTAGCAGTAAAGCAACAAATTATGTATATTGCTTTCTATCTCTTGTTCTTACTCCCAGCTGCTCCCAAGGATGTCTAGAGGCAGCAAAGGATCAGATGTGGGTAAACCAACTGAAACTGTATTGAAACAAAAGACCAATCAAGAATTGGAAGTATGTACATCCTAGGGAAAACAGATTTGGCCACAACGATTTACCTCTTATTTACCTGCTAATAAAATTGTCATGCTCTATTCTCAATGGCACTGCACTCCTGAAGTTCTACGTACACTGATGGTGCTGGACTCAGCATTTCTCCTGGAAAACCGCATGGCTGCTATGGTCAAAGGTGTTTTTGCTGAATTTTGACAGCTGCACCAGGTGTGTCCCTTCTTAGGGAAGGCAGATTTGGCCACAGTGCTCTACCTCTTATTTACCTCCTAATTAAACTATTATAACATGCTCTATACCAGTGATGGTGAACCTTTTTGAGCCCAGGTGCCCAAACTACAAAACAAACAAACAAAAAAACAAAAAAAAAAAAAACCAGCAGGCAACAGCATGGCAGAAGAGGAAGTGGTGGCGGAAGCACAAATCCTGGGCATGCAGGTGCCTCCAGACCCCGACTCCATATCCACCTCCAATCGTGCCCAACCCTGCCACTACCTATAGCTCATACGGCCCGCCGCCGCCAGTGCCAGCTCCTCCAGATCCTGGCCCACCACCTGTCGGGGCGCTAGCACTGCGGCAAAGGAAAAAAAGTTTTTTGTTTGTTTGTTCAGTTTGGCTGCCAGGGATAGCGATCCAACAACTTACGGCTCACATGCCCACAGAGAGGGCTCTACGTGCCAGCGTAGAGCTGCTCTTGAAAAAAGCTCAAATTGGTGAAAAATGTGGCAGCCAGACAGTTCTTCAGTGACCATGTATCTTGAACCAGCAGCATTGGCTTCCAATTCAATTTAAGGTGCTGGATTTGACCTAGAAGGCTTGGGGTCTGGACAGCTGAACCATCCCGTTAATGTACAAGCCCGCCCACAATCTGAGTTATAAGATCCTGCTGTACATCTGTTCATGTTGAGAAGGAAAGCTGGCGATTAAATGAAACAGGGTTATCTTTGCAGCAACATCTGGATTGTAGAACCTCCTGTCAAAGCAATTCAGACCAGTCCATCCTCCTTGAGATTTGGGTGGGCTGTTTTGTACATCCGATTGTATTTAAAACTAGTTTGGAAGCAATCTTTTAAGGTGTTCATGATCCACTTCTAAATAAGTATTTTTTTTTAAGATTGTGCGTGGGGGGGGTTGTTTAATGATTTTTTAAATCTCTTTTTGAGATTTGGGTGGTCTGTTTTGTACATCCGATTGTATTTAAAACTAGTTTGGAAGCAATCTTTTAAGGTGTTCATGATCCACTTCTAAATAAGTATATTTTTAAAGACTGTGGGGGGTTGTTTAATGATTTTTTTCATCTCTTTTTAAATATTTTTTAAAAATGCTTTTTGCTGTTGTGCTTAGATTTGGGGCCCTCAAGAACTGTAAATTGACAAAGTACTTATAATAAATACACAACGTCTTAGAAGACAATTTAACCACAAAAGTTATTCTATCTCTTGAGAGTTTATTAAACACTGACCCAGATCTCCATAGTTTTAACACAATTACACACACAGGCTCTACTATTGCTTTCTTATTCATCAAGGGCTTTCTTCTGAAGCCATGATTTCTCCAAGGTGTTCTAACTCTATAATTTGCTGAGAATTCAACAGGTCTCTTCCACCTCCAAGCAATTATCTGTTGGTAAGGGCAGTCCTTCAACACCGGATGTAGAATGAATCCATCACTTTTTTTTTGCCTCCTTTTAGCTTCCTTTAGTCTCCCACTTTTAAAGCTGCACATAGCAACTTGGAATACCATAGCATGGACAATCTTGGCCTTGGTCTCCAGTGCACCTCCTTCTCCCTCATACTTGCCCTTCCAAGTCTCAGATTTCTTCTGATTTCTGAATTGCAATTACTGTACACTTTAACACCAATTATTTTTTTTCCTTTTTATTAATGCTAACACTTTGTGTTTTTTACATAAACCCCACAGTATGCATTCCACTTCAGGAGAAAAGGGTTTTAAGTAATATTTCTGATACAAACTCCCACACTTATAATAGTACTAATGCGCCAAATAGAAGCTACTCCAAATAAATTATTACAGAACAGAAAATGACTAAACCAAATTGTAGATTATATTGGACAAAGTGATGCTGCAGAATCCCCAGCATTTCACTCTCATGAAAGGAGCTATTCATATGTGTATCCTCTCGCAGGCCATGTTTGTTGGGAAATCTACAAATCAATGTGAATAAATAATAAAACACATATTATATGCAATACCTTTTATTACCTAGCAAGTACGTCTATTTATGGATTTTAATGGCACACACGCTGTTCCTATTTCTAGATCCTGAAATGCTGTTTATTGCTTTCTGCACATATAGAAATATAGACTATATGTACATATACATATACACTCACTATTCTTGCTGTCTGTAAATAGTTTAGTACTTCTTTTTAAAAAAACCCACCAAACCCACCCAGTTCGGACCCTTCCCCCGACCCCACTCCTTTCCCATTACCTGGAACTCCAGCCCGTAAATCACGGGCGCATCATCTTCCATGGCGACGGAGACACCGCCTCCTGCCCTGCCCGCCTGCCTGCCTGGCGACCGGGTCCCGATGGGCAGGAAGAGGGAGGGAAGAAAGCAAGCCCCCTTGGCTGCCCTGCTCACCTCCTTCCTATTGGAACCCGAGCAGTTAAAGCGAAACCCGCCACAACATACGCCTCGTGTCCCGCCTCGGCTTCCGTCAAGATGCCACTTCCGGGTACGCCACGGAGGGAGGCGGAGGCGACGCGAGGGTCCTCGGGCGCGTGAACCCAGCTGCGCAGGCGCACTGAGGGAGGCGCGCCGGCCGGGTTCCTGGGCGCCGGAGAGAGGTGCCGCTGCCGGGCGGGGGGAGGGTGGGAGAGAGAGCAGGTGAGGCGCGGAGAGCGTGTCCTTCCCGCGGGGTTGGGCGGCGGCGAGTGTCTCCCTTCGGAGGGGCTGAAGCGAAGCGGCGCTCCTCATCCGAAGGTGCGGGGCGAAAGAGAGAAGGCGGGCGGGCGGGAGTGAGGGATCCCTTTCTTCCTTGCCAAGGGCACCCGGGGACGGGAAGAGGGGAGAGCGGGCGCCACAGGGAAGAAGGGGAAGCAAAGCAGACTTTGCCGGCCAGGACCGAGCAACGTGGAGTTCCGCCACGGGAAGCTTGAGTGAGGCTGGCTGCCAGGCACGGG